GTGATTTTTGGTCTGGTTGCAGCCCTATCAGGATTGCATCAAGACGTGATCTAGCTAGCTGTATGGACGCTTTCCTCTGTGTTTGAAAATTTGGGTTAAGCCTGTTATTCAAGAATAGCACTCACTAATCAAGATGCACCTCAGTTGCGGGTCCATGGATCCTTGACCCAACGCCCGAGAAGAACGTTAAAACATGGACTCCCCCGATACAAGGATATATAAGCCGGCTAATAGCATTCTGCATGATGAGCAACTTCCAAAAAGTGACAGGGGAGATCATGTCAACAACTTGGGCTCTAATCTTGTGTGAATAGAATTTCCTGCAATTAATTGTTTCTGCATTGAGCTAGAGTTGTTCTTCCTTGTACGAGTTTATTTATTTATTGGTAAGAAAAATAACTTAAGGACCCAAAATATGGGATCAATGGAGGGGACATGTGAGGTGTCTCCTCCCTATTGCATAATGAGTTGGCATGAATTGGCATGACCAACTCATTATGCAATAGGGAGTGAATACCTCACCTGTCCTCTCCATTGGTCCCATATTTTGGGTCCTCGTAGCAGCACTCTATTGATAATAATGGTGTGAACGAGCTATTGCGTGTTCAAATTTTCAACTTGCGCCTCGTCAGCATAGTGACATGTAAGGAGAAGACAAAAGGATTCCGTAGGCAAAGCCAACTGCTGTTGATTAGGAGGGGCAATAATATTATGATAAGCTGTTGTTCCTAGTACGTAGTTTGCCTTTGGCCGGTGTTAAAAAGGATATATATACTTTTTTCATTGTAGGCTTGTAGCAAACTTAAAAGTAGCTTATCATAATATCTAATTAGAGTTTTTCTAATCATTAATTCAAAATCTTGAAGGCTTTATAAAATCTGACGCGGGTTGAGCTCTCGTAGGTTGAGCGTCCCTTTTTATGGGCCGAAACTTTGACTCACGCGATGATATCTATTTTTTAAAAAATCCATTTTAAATTTATCGTCAATGAGATTTGAACTTGGATTGTTCTGACGCCGTCTTAAAGTCTGTTTAATCATAACTTCAAAATTGTGATGAGAATCGAGAGTTTTTCTTTTTCCTTTTTCGAGAAAAAGATGAGGGGTTCAAAGGAGGCCCAGTCATGCCTACTATTTTCAAAAAATGGTTGTTTATAAATATACAAGTAACCCCTCAACTCTAAAGGGTTAGCTATCCAACAAAATAACCAATTCTATATTTTTATATTCTAATACATATTCTTCGTAAGGATTAATGTTAAAAGTTATTGCCACTGCACTAAAACATTAAATTTATAATGAGGATAACACTAAATTTATAATGAGGATTGAGGTTGATGACTTTAGCTACAAGTTCTATAATATAACCAAGATACATCTTCATCAGAGGTACGTTTTTGTTGCTTGGCATTATTTATGTATGTACAGCATTTTGAAATCCCATATGGATAAAAAAGAGGAACTCCAATGGTTTTGCTTCTTTAGACATATCTAGATGTCTCTCTCTATACGACATTTCCTTGTCAAGGAACAAAAGAACGGTCCAAAATCTTATTGGTATCGGCTCATTTAGCTCTAATGTAATGATCCTAAACGCCTCTCTGGAACGGATAATACTTTCTTATATAATGCAGGCAATATAAAACTCTTGAAATTATCCTGTGGATTGGATTTACTAAACATATGGCGCTCAAAGTGATGAAACTCCTCCTAACTAGAGTACAGAATAGGAAAGTTTGAAAATAGGTAAACTGATCCTAATGAATCCAATTAGTCTCTAAAACCTTATTATTTTGAAATTAGTCCCTCAGAACACCAAAATTGATATCACGTCTTCCAATTTTTATAGCTAATTTAAAATTAGTCATTCACTAGGCCCCCATTTCTTATAAGTGGTTTCGGATTGATCTTCCCAAATCCAAGTTGGATGAGCTCATAGCAATTTCGATCATTTGAAGACTAATCTCAAAGTATAGAAGATTAAGGGATTAATATCGGAAATCATTAGGGGTTGTTTAGTTGCAATTTTTTCCAGAGGAAGCAAGGGGAAGTGAAGGTTTGTGCGTCCACCATCAGCTTTTTTAAGTTTACTTTATTTGATTGACATGGAAAAGAGGCATTAACGCATCCATTATGGTAATGTGTCACTCTAAAACTACTTCGTGCGAAATGACAAAGATTTAAATGGAAAGTTAGTATATAGCCTAACTAGGCAAAGTTAAATTTGTGCCAAATTGGAGAGATTTGAATGAAAACTTACCATAGTCTTGTTGGTTTCGGAAGTGGAGAACCAAACCTGGAATCAAAAATCACAAACTGTACAAAAATCCTCTTATCGGTCGACCGATGTGAAGCCAAAAAAATATTACAGGAGTTTCGAGATGGTCGACCGACGGGCTTGCCCCGGTCGACCGAAAACGTGCACAAGAAACCCTGTAGAAAACAGAGTTCTGGACGGTCGACCAAAGCAATGATATCGATCAACCGATGGTGATCAACCAGTCGACCGATGAGATGATATCGGTCGACAGAAGTTGGGTCAGGTGGTTTCCTGGTTCGGGTTGGAATCTGTTTTTGCGTTGTGTATATATATGTTTCCTAAAACGTTTCTAGGGTTATGTGTGAACGTCTTTGAGAGGGTTTTGATAGCACTCTGAGAGAAGTTGAAGGGACATTAAGGTTGAGTCAGGCTGAATACATTAAGAAGGTACTTCAGAGATTCAACATGGGGAATGTCAAGCCCGTCGGCACGTCCATTGGAAGTCAATTCAAGTTATATGAGGAGCAATCACCCAAGATAGATGCATAGAACGAGCATATAAGCAGAGTGTCATATTCATCAACCATTGGTAGTCTTATGTACGTAATGGTTTGCACGAGGCCGGATATCGCCCACGCAGTGGGAGTTGTGAGCAGGTTTGCAAGCAATCTAGAAAAGCAGCATTGAGAGACCGTGAAGTGGATATTGCGATACTTGAGAGGAACTACGAATATGCCATTGTGTTTCAGGAGGAAGAAATTGGTACTGAAGGAATACGTGGATGCAGATTTTGCCAGTGATCATGATACGAGCGAAGTACCATGGGGTATATTTATACCTTAGCGTCGACAACAGAGAGCTGAGTTTCACGTTTACAGAAGATAGTAACATTGTCCATGACTGAGGCAGAGTATGTCGCAATGACTGAAGCCAGCAAGGAGATGATTTGGTTGACCGGGTGCATGGAAGAGCTGAGTTTGAAGCAGGGGAACGTTGTTCTTTATTGGGATAGCCAGAGTGATGTACACCTTGCTAAGAATCCAGTATATCATGTCAGAACGAAGCACATTGACGTACGTTACCACTTCATACGCTCGCTGATAGAAGATAAGAAGTTACAGTTGGAGAAGATTTTGGGGAGCCAAAATCCTGCAGATATTTTGACTAAACCAGTGACCATCGACAAACTACAGTTCTGAACGGTCGACCGACGGAGTTGCCCCGATCGACCGAAAACGTGCATGAGAAATCCTGTAGAAAATAGAGTTCTGAACGGTCGACCGAAGCAATTAATGATATCGGTCGACCGATGGTGATCAACCAGTTGACTGATGAGATGATATCGGTCGATCGAAGTCGGGTCAGGCGGTTTCCTAGTTCGGGTTGGAATCTATTTTTGGGCTGTGTATATATATGTTTCCTAAAACGTTTTTAGGGTTATGTGTGGACGTCTTTGAGAGGGTTTTGATAGCACTTTGAGATCAGAGATCTTAGAGAGAGACCTATTGTGAGTATTGTAATCTTCTTCAATTAATCAAAGAATTTCTGGTGTGGCTCCCAAGGACGTAGGCACGTTTGCCGAACCTCATTAAATCTGGTGTTTTCTTCTTTTGTTCGTTCACCTCATTAAATCTGGTATTTTCTTCTTTTGTTCGTTCTTTTCTATAATTTTTTTATTTCCTGTGATTTCTTGCATACCTACTTTTGACACAAGATCCGAAAAGATACGGGTTGTCGTTTGTGTGTTCAACCCCAACAAGTCTGACCAGATAAATGCAACTTCTTGAAATCTAACATTGATATCTTTTGGTCGCGAAGAACATTCTTATTTGATCCCACTCAAAAAAAATATTATTCTATATCTTTTGGTCGCGAACAACTTTCTTATTTGAAATCTAACCTTGATATCTTTTTGTCTTTGCCCCAACCCATTGAGAATACCTCTCAAGCAACGCCCAATGATGACGTAAGCCGCACCCTAAGGGGGGGTTAGTCACCTAGAACTTAAAATTAGAACTGGGATAATCTGTGGGATAAAATTTTAAAGTGTTAGTCACATAGAACTAAACCTAGAACAAAATTTTAAGGTGTTAGTCACATAGAACTAAAACTAGAATAAAATTTTACAGTGTTAGTCAAGCAGAACTTTAACAAAACTAGAATTGGGATAATTGTACAAAATTATCCCACTTTTTTTATTTTTCTATACAAAAATGAGAGTTCTAGTCTCTCAAATTATTCCAAGTTTTAGCTTGGAACTATGTGGTAAAAAACTAGAACTCGTATTTATTTTGTTATTTTTTATTTTTTTCTTTACTTATTTCCTATTATGGTTATCACCATCATTAAACCATCATCATAATAACAATTGTCAATATCTTATAGTCTAACCAAAAGTTATTTTAATAGTAACGAACATTTTTGTAAGCAATTATCAATTAATAGTAGTAAGTTTAAAATACATAAATAGTATTTATATCTTCAAAATGTATAAATATATACTTCATGATTATAAAAATTTATCCCACGTTATTTTATCAAAATATCCCGCTTCACAAAATTGTTCCTAGTTATCCCACTAAAATATCCCACTAGCGAAATATTATTCAACTTTAACAATTATCCCATTTTGCATGAAAATGTCCCAATTGACTAACACCCCCAAGAGTTGACACTTACCGAGCATGTAGAGGACACGTGCACTTTCTATCTCCTTGTTGTATATATTTCTCTGTTTGGAGTTCTCTCTCCGTGACTCTCACTGGCTATCGCGGTGCGATAACAACCCAGGTAAACTCCCTTCTCACCTTGATTTATTTTTAATATGTGCTTTATTTTGTTGATTTTGATTCCAATTTATGTATATAAGCAGCCCTTTTTTTTTAAGGGTGAAATTGAGGGGTTAAGGATTCATAATTATTTCCAAAGGAAATTGAGCAACTGCACCATTGTTTCCGCAAGAAAATTCTCACGTAGGGAAAAGGGCCATACTTATAATCCTCAGAACTTGTATTTAATCTTGGTAGACGATGTATTTGATATTTATGTTGCAAAATAATGGGAGAAATTAATGTTGAGGATTACATGATTTGGTTTCTTCAAATTACTCGTGTGAATTGTCGATGTGGCAAACTTTGTTCTAGACTAAATCGTTCTTTTCTTAGATCTGAGATAGAAATATATATATATATAATATATATATATTAATCGAATATTGAACAGTATGCAACCTTTGATTTGTTTGTTAGGGATTACGAGAGTAGTAAATTTTTTTATTGAATGAGATGGGCGGCTTCAATCCTGTTAGCAACTTTGTCTTTACGATATTTAAGTCTTAAGATCTAATATGCATTTTTTTTTCTTGAATCAATTGCACTATTTTTCTACTGATTAAGAGTAGTAAATCTTTGCCAAGAATTTTTCTTCATTTCTAAAAGGAAAAAATTGGGTTTAGAATATAGAAATGGCATCATTCAGTACTAGACAAATCTATAGAGGCGGTTTATTATTTCAATATTCTTAGGGCCTGTTCGGTTGTTTTCCGAAAAAAACAAGAAATGAAAATGTCACATTTCATTTGATATCATGACATTTCAAGAGTTTTCTCACATTTCATTTTTTGTGTTCGTTTCGCAAAGAAATCACCCATTGAAACCGCCAAGTCACATAAAGAGACAAAAAAAGCCTCAATAGTAACAGTGCATGTGTTTTCTATTTCTTGTGTTCGTTTGAACAAAAAAAAGGGAAAAAGAAATGGAAACATTTAAATAATCTGTTTAATTCTCATTCATTGTTCCAACAGTGCTTTTAAATATTAAAAATTCATTGAATTGACATTTCCAAGTGTTTTCAGAGGTTTTTGTTGTGAAAACACATTTCTTAAAAATGTGATGTGGCATCCTACGTGGCGTTTCATTTCTCTAAATTTCAAAACGAACCAAACTGAAGAAATGGAAAACCCTTGAAACCAAAAACCTATGTGGCACATGGGGGATTTCTTGAAATGTGAGGTGGCAGGTGTTTTCTCATTTTTTTTTGAGCAAACCGAACAGGCCCTAAAACGAAATCATTATGGACCTTTCCACAAACTCAGAAAAGCATAAACTAAAGAACTGATCAAGTATTACACCATGATGTCGATTTGATATCAACCCTCTAAAATTGGTACCAAATTCCTGACAATCAGGTTAAGCTAATACAACATAAAATCAAGCAACATATTCTTATACAGTAAGAAAGAGGCTAAGACTAAAAGGTAATATATTTTCTGCAGGGAGCCATATCCAACTCCTACTGATACCAACCAAGTGACGATGGACTCAACACTGCCAAATCAGCTCATTTTTGCAGCCACAAGTTAAATGAGGACTCGTGAATTAGAAGTTCAAGTGCTGAAACTTGCCCCCAGCTCTCAAAAATTCCAAGCAGTGTCCAATCAGATGACGTGCATATTAAAATTTATCCAACATTTGCCATCCTTCTTAGTAATTTAAATTAGATGTTTAATTTCAAATAAATATAGTTAAAAAATTATTAATCTAATATTTGAAATCATTATATATTTGGAAAGGGCTCGTTAAGATCTTTAAAATGAAACTAAGATTAATTTATTTTAGTATTATTATAAAATTATTAATTTTTAAATTAAATAAATAAGTATCAGACATGAAATTTTAAATACGAGGATCTATTTTAAAACTCTCATCGACACCTTTATAATGTTATAAATTTTTTTACCAAATAAATTATTAACAATAAAATTATTAACCTAAACTATATCCAATATTATTTAATTTATATGGCTTTTTTAAGAAAAAAATAAAAAGAAAAACATTTGGAGAGTGTGGGTTGGAGCAACCCTCCAAATTTCACCCTCCAAATTAGAATATTCCTAGAATATTCCAATTTGGAGGGTGAAATTTGGAGGGTATGGTTGGAGATGCCTAACAGATGAATCCAAATTTGATTGGCTCTGTGACGGAGAGTACTAGGGGCAGCTGCGAGAAGTGACTGCCAGCGGCATGGTGATGTAGACATTATTGATTGAGAAGCCCATTGCTGCAAAATGAAACATTTTCATTTTCTGAACAACATCAGGAGCCACAAGGATGTCTCGCAAATTGTAATTTCTGATTGTATCATAGGAACCACATTGTCCTTGTTTTTTATTTTTTCAGGTAAGTACTAAATTAAGAAGCAAAT